CTTTTGTGCCTTTCTTTCCAAGCGACTGGCCTCATTTTCTGCTTCCTCTAACAAGGAAGCATACTGATCCCGTTCTTTCTCGGCCAGCCGCTTTTCAGATTCGGCCTCCCTCTTCTCATCCTTCATTTTCTCCAATTCGGAGAACAAGATCAAATTCACGTCCTCCAGCTTTCTCAGCTCGGAGGACGCATTTTCTAATTCGGAACGTAAGTTGGAACTTACGTTCCGAGCCTCTTCTAACTCCGCAACCAACTCCGAATTGTTTTCTTCTAACCAGGTTAACCTGGCTTCCTTCTCCGAATTCTTTTCTTCTAACCAGGTTAACCTGGCTTCCTTCATCCAATCTATTATTTCAGATTCTATGGCATGTTCCGCCTGGTCTGTCAGTGCAATGGCTTCTTGGCGAAGAACCCAGTGACGACATTCGAATCTGTGTTTTCGGTATTTTCTTATTCTTTTTTTTTTGGGCTTCTAAAATTAAAATAAAAAAATGTAAGTAAAAGGTTCTTTGTAATATATCTGATATTTAAACAGGGAATGGAGCTTATATATTTAAGAAAGTATAATAAAATAATAATAATAATAATAATAATAATAATAAAAAAAAATAAAAAAAATAAAAAAAAAATAAAAAAATAAAAAAAATTAAAAATAAAAATAAAATAAAAATAAAAAAAGGTATGAAGCTATAATTGTTTTAGTGCTTTTTGCAATGAATTTTTTTATAACATGTAATATATATATTTTTTTTTTACATAAAGGCCTCTTACTCCAATTTGTTACGGTGTTCAAGGTTTATCTTAGCGAACAGAATATTGATCGTGTAGATGGTTTTCTTAAAAAGGTGGAAATGGGCAACAAAGCTTATGGAATTCTTCCCTCTAACAAACGGAAATGGACAGCAAAATTTACGGAATTCTTCCCTCTAACAAACGGAAATGAACAAAATTTATGGAATTTTTCCCTCTAACAAACGGAAATGGGACAACCAAATTATTTCTTCCCTCTAACAAACGGAAATGATCAAAATTTATGGAATTCTTCCTTTTAACAAACGGTGGACAACAAGACTTATGGAATTCTTCCCTATAACAAACGAAAATGGGACACCAAATTTATGGAATTCTTTCCTCTAACAAACGGAAATGAATAAATTCTTCCTTTTAACAAACGGTGGACAACAAAACTTATGGAATTCTTCCCTCTAACAAACGGAAATGGACAACAACAAAACTTATTGAATTCTTCCCTCTAACAAACGGAAATGGACAACAAAATTTATGGAACTACGGAATTCCTCTCTCTAACAAACGGAAATGGACAACAAAATTTATATAATTCTTCCTTTTAACAAACGGAAATGAAAAACAAAATTTATGGAATTCTTCACTACGTATAACAAACCAATATTTTGAAGTTGAGGATATTGAACAGCTTGTTTAACATCATAAGTAAACCAAAAAATTCAATGAAAGAACAAAACATTGATTAATTCGACTTTTGCATCATTTCTTTGTTTGAGAAGCTTTTGTGCCTTTCTTTCCAAGCGACTGGCCTCATTTTCTGCTTCCTCTAACAAGGAAGCATACTGATCCCGTTCTTCTTCGGCCAGCCGCTTTTAAGATTCGGCACCCCTCTTCTCATACTTTATCTTCTCCAATTCGGAGTACAATATCAAATTCACGTCATAGCCTCTTCTAACTCCTCGATGTACTCCGAATTGGTTTCTTCCAGCTAGGTTATTCGATCCAATCCATTATTTCGGATTCAACGTCATGTTCCACCCGGTCAGTCTGTTCGATAGCTTCTTGGAGAAGATGTTAAAGAAATTTTAAAGCCGAAAACACCCCGCAGAGGTAATTTTCTTTGATTTATATAAAGCAATCATTTAACTATGTCTATGTAATTTATTAATTCTATATTTACTATTTAATTTCTAGGTTATTACTTTTGGCAGGAATCAGACTTTGTGAAGGCCGTTTGGAAATCAATGAAACAGGCTGTTGGCTGAGGTTCTCGTACAGAACGAATTGAAGCACAATTTTTTGCGTCAAAGTAAAGTAAGCAATGTTTAAATAGTCGATGATAAAAATACTGTTTATTATTGACAAAATAACGGCGTTTTCTTTTTAGCAATGTTCAACTATTCTCGGTGCATTTTCTACCAATCCTAATACAGAAATCGACCCATACAAAAGGCTTAGACGATACAGAATTCGACTCATACAAAGGAAACGATACAGAACTCGACTCATACAAAAGGCTTAAACGATACAGAACTCGACTCATACCAAAGTCTTAAACGATACAGAATTCGACTCATACGAAGGAAACGATACAGAACTCGACTCATACAAAAGGCTTAAACGATACAGAATTTGACTCATACAAAGGCTTAAACGATACAGAACTCGACTCATACAAAAGGCTCAAACGTATTGTTACGAAGACGTCTCAGAAAGCGCTATTTTATATTGGTTTGAAAAGGGTTCAGCAAATAGCGGCAATGCAGTATTTTAAAACAAATGGAGCCTTTTGTAAAATTGCTTAAAACCGTCGATAGAGTGAAGAAGACTAAAAAAAGGGGTTGTTTTCTTTGTAAACTTTGTCGCATCGGAATTTTTTGTTTCTAGCTTTTTTTTTGTTTTTTTTTTTTATGTATTAAAAAAATCAATTTATTTACTTTTTATACATAAAGAACCACACAATATAGATGGATCTAATTTAACAGTGAATTGTTTACGTCTCAACTGCTTCCTATGGTCCTGTACTACTTGATACACCGACATATAACGAAAGCGTAATCCTGGCGAGTGTTTCAAGTTTGTGAACGGAATTATAAAGACTGTACTAAGGAAGACACATACCTGTGGTGCTCAATAACGAAGTAGCGTAGTTGATCTCGATGGAAACTTCGAATTTGGAGAAAGTATAGATGTCAATTCGATCGATGAAAGGTGCTGCGAAGAATAAATTCGATAATAATGATATGGGTTGGATGATAGGTTTGAAGGACTAAGGGTGCGAATGGAGGAAATTATATGAAGTCGTCTAAAATGTGTAGGTTCGGAAAAATGGATGTTAGGGCATTGTAGGGTGTTGAGTTAATAATTGCTGAAACAAAATTTTAGTAGTAAATATTTGGGTGTTATACAATAATAATTTGGTAGTTTGTGGTAATAAAGTTGGTAAGAATGTTGTAATTTTGCAAATGTGAAATTTGTGTTAGAAACTTGGATTGCAATTTTTGAATCTGTATTTGGTTTGTTGTATATCTACCTAAACATAATATAATCTACCAATTAGATTCAAGCGCTAAAATTCTAAATTACTGTTATTAATTTGAAAATAATTTAATACATACTGTTATTTACAATATGTATTCAGTGATATTTTTTTCATTTTTCGTTATCTTCAAGGTTTTTTATTTTTAATATTTTTTTCAAAACGTTGAGATAACTACTTTCCGAAATATGGGATCTTTGCTATTAAAATGACCTTCAGAAGCATTGTTACACAAGATTTTTATTAAGCAAAATATAGTAAATCTATTTTTAGAAAAATATCATAGCAAATACCCCATATTTTCGTGTATAAAATTATTTTAACCTTCAAACCGCTTTATGTACACGGGCAATATATATAAAACCACCTTTTGGCTTCTAACAAAAAAAATTTCTTGTGAAATTTTGGTGTAGGCCCAATCCAAATCCTCCCTTATTCTAACCATAAGCCAGGGTTTAATTTTTGTTTGTTTTAATTGGCATGCTATACGAATTTATAATTCAATAGATTATATCCGTGTATAAACACTATGTGTAAACTAATAAATTTTCTATGTGCAAAATGCATTACTTGAGTGTGCTAGGTTTGTGGCGCAGCAAAATTCTTTAATGTTCATTTATGTTAGAGTTAGAAGAAGGTAATTTATATAGTAAACTTTCTCAAAAAAACCATTTTATTAGAGCAACTAAAGTGGTGTTTTATGTAGAATTTCGAAAAATAAGCGATTTTTGATAAAGCAAACATTCAAACATTTTTTTGAATTTTCTCGATCGTGTTACTTTGCTAGTTCAGTAAATCTGCGCCACAAACTTAGCACACATTCAAGGGGTGCCTGATTTTGAAAAGGAAATCCAATCTCTCCAGTAGCGCATCTCATTAAACATATGAAATTATATATAATTGACGCACCCTAATCTGGGGAGATTGGATTACTTATCCAAATCAGCCAATATGGTACCGTGAACACATTTTGTAATTCAATTGGATTATCGTCTAGCATTTTCATAGTTTAAGTAAATAAATCTTTGGCAATTTTTTATTTATTGGCTCAATATAAAAAAAAATTCATTTTGTCTTATAACATGCATACACAGTCAACACTTTATATAGCAAATTAGCCATACAAAATTACTATATTTTCTTAAGCCATAACTTTTCTATACAGAACTGATGTAAAATTTAATTAGAGTTGACCATATGTCTACGCATAATTAAAAAAAAATGTTACAAATAAGATTAAGAATTAAAAGCTTAACTAATATTGAGACCTAACAAACGATAACGATAATTAATTAACCCAAATTAATCACGGGCGACGCTAGGGTAGAGACACTTTTGCCGATCATCATGCAGTCACCATGCAGATTGCAATGTGAATGATTAATATGTTTTACTTATCGTTATTAATTATTAGGATAACTGCGCGACGCAGTCGCGTGCTAAAACCAGGAACGTAATACGTACAATTAGATTTTGTCTCTCATCTAGGAGAAAATATAGTAAAGTATGAAATACATTTGACGGGTTTATTTGCCTTTCTGCTTTTGAGCAAACTATTTACACCAACATAGCGCAGACTTAATGAGAATCGTTAGAATTTTTCTCTCATTCTCTTTTTTTTTTTTTTTTTTAGTTCATTTCATTGATATTTCTTAATTCTTAGCCTTATCCCTATTTCAAGCCCGAACTTGATTGCCATCCCGCAAATCTTTACTACGAGGCAAACCACCAAGTTACTGCCGGCAATGCTACAATTTTCAAGATACTAGTCCTGCTGTAGACATAGGCCCAAGACATGATTGCCCTCCCGCAGGTTATCCCATGCGAGGCTAAACACCAATGCCTGAGTTAGGCCAAACTAAAACACTAGTTCGGGTTGGGTGGGTGGGTCCAGACTATAGAGGTCGGGTTGGCAGAAAAAACAAACGATGTTATTGCCATACCCCTCTATATGCACATATATACTCAACAAATCAAACTCCGAACCCTTTGTTGTGACCATCACGTGGAAAAACACATGCACAACACATTAACTGTGTAACCTATAAACCACT